GAAAGGAGGAGGAAGAAAGAAATTAAAGGAGAAAGAAAGGAAGGTTCCTTGTGTTGCTGGTAGTGGGAAAGGAAAAGTAACCATGTGTAAATGTGCCATAAAGTTCTCTGTGAGTCTCTAGAATAGCATGTCTCCATGGCCCACTTCCCTGTGGAAAGACCACCCACAGACAGGAACATATATATGACAGTAACTTCCATTGCACAGCTCTGAGGTGCTTACAGTGTGTGTGTCTGTGTCAATGTATGTACATGTATATCTCTTAGTATACTAGAACTAAATCATCCTAAAAAATGGAATGTTATAGGGATAACATAGATACTCCAATTAGTGATATTTAATAATATTATTTAAAATGGATAGTTTGAAGAAAATAATTGCTGAAGTAACAAAAAAAAATCTAAAATTTGCACTTCCACCTCTTGCTACTTTGAGTCATTGAGAGACAGGTTAGGGATATACTGTCTACCAAGTAGTTTAACTATATGAGATTTAATCTTTTGAAAAGATTAATAATATTTCCCTAAAGAATATCTACTAATGTTTGAGTATTCCAAACCAATATCCCTTAACTCTTATTTTTAACTAGCGCCGGAATTCAAGGGGCTGGGCCCCCAGCCACCACAGCTTCATCTGGAAGGTCATCTGGAAGGATGTACAGAAGGATGTCTGGTCTAATTAGCGTATTACACTTTTATTATTATAGATGCCGAGCAGTAGAGGTATGCTATTTACAAAGTTATTATTATTCTGACTTTTTTCATCTGGGGCAATGTCTTAAGGCAGAAGCGAATTGTAAAAGCCACTTAGCAGATCATTCTTATCTGAATAAAGGAACTGCCTGAAAGAAGAGACACATCTTTAATTGCTTTATAAAGGTGATGATGCTGTTGAGATCCCCAAGTCTCTCAGTGGGGCTGTTGCCCTGTTCAACATATTTAATACATTTAAACATCCTACATTCAGAAAAGCAATTAGAGGTCATAATGAAATAGTCTGGTTTAGTTAATGTTATATACAGTATGAAGATAAATAGAAGTGATTAGGGAAGGGAAATTTGGGGCTGAAATTTGCCTCAGGGAGTAACAAAGTACTGCCATAGAAACTAGTGGTTGGCTTTCAGAATTATAAGGCTTCTAGCAAAACAAGAATCAGCTTGGAAATGAATAGGCCTGTCTCTGTAATGCTCTCTCAGTTCAAATCCCCAGGCTCCACAAGCTTTTGTGCAACAAATTTAATTAGAAAAGAAAACCTATTATAAACTAACAAATGATTTACAAGGGCAGAAAACCCTTCTGTAATCTGGAAGGTTATACACACTAAGATGATTCACTTTTGTTTTAGTTATTTCTCTATACATTTCAGTTCTAGTTAACTCTACATTTTAATAAATCTATTAATTTTTACTAACATTGCAAATCAGGAATTTGAAAACTGGACATTATAAGAAATGTAGGATTTTAATGAGATATACATTTCTGGGTCACCTTTACTTTTTCTTGTACATATTCAAATATATTCTCTTCCTCTAAGTTAATAGTAGTGAACATTTGCCTTCGCTCAAGATGTAGTGGAACCCAGGCTTCCATCTAAGTAAAAGTGAGTGGAATGCACCCCCCTGCTGGGACAGATCATCAAGTTGATGACTTGTCTACCTTTCCTTTGCAGATCAGAACCAAGGAACTTAATGACCAAAACAAACTAACGAACAAAATAAACTGATGAACAAAATAGGTCCAGAGGCCTGGATACATGAAACAAACGGACAGATCTCAAGGGGGAGGCAGGTGGAAGCGACTGGAAGAGATTAACCAAATAATATGTGTGCATATCTGCATAGCCCTGGACACAGACAATAATGTGGTGAAGGCCTGGGGGGGGAGGGGGGCGGAGGAGCTGGGTGTAGGGGAGGAAAGAGGGGAGGGATGGAGGACATCGTAATAGTGTCTACAATAAAACATTTAAAAAAGAGTTACAGGCATTTTAACGATCTGGTTAGAAATATAGTAAGGATTCAATGCTAATCTGTCCTGACTATGTTTTAATATTTTTTCTAAAATATTATTAGTTTAGTATTTTAGATTCCCTCTGCTTTTCACCAAGTGGAGTAAAAAGAGAAAGAGAATATGGTCACTTAAGAACATTTGCCCTTTGAAAATGTGTTTAGATATGTAGCTAAGAGATTTATTCTCTCTCTTGTTTTCACCCTTTCCAGGTTTATTACTGAAAGAAATAGAAATGTGTGAAGGCAGGTTGATGCAGGCCTAGATGAGATTGGACAGGTTAAGAGACTGTGATCAAAAGCAAGGATAGGGTGATCAGACAGGACACCGATTTGTATCTGAAATGTGCTTTGAAGCCCTGGGGACCCATCCTGTTCCCACAGAACGGCATCAGCCCTGGTGATGGCGCTGTTGTTTACTGCTTGTGCCGCTTGTTTGACTGACTCTTCACAACAATCTTGGGTAAAGGGGAGACTGGACCTCATGGCACAGATTAGAAAGATTAGGCATTTTTACAAAATTCAGTTTTTCAGATAAAGGTGAATTAATTCAAACTCAGCTCTGTGAGGCTCAAGCTTGTGCACATCTATTATTGCTAACTTTTTTTATTTATATAAACAACTAGATATTTTTCTGTCTCAACCATTAGTAATTTAAGATTCACAACTAATCCTGTGAGTTAACTAAGGGTGGTATTGAAACACTTGGGGATTAATGTGAGGTGTGCTGTTTTTGTAAATATCTGCATTGATGGAGCCCCTATTAAAATTAAAAATGAGATCTTAATGCCAGGTCTTTAGATTAGGATATAACTGGTATGGAACACCGATGTGACTAGGAAAAGATTAAAATAGTTATTGAGATATTGCCAAGTACAATATCTAGGATATTACAGCTTCTCGAGTCAGAAAGCATTTTTAATGCAGTTCAAAAGGATACTTTTTAGACTAGAAAATAACTATGCAGCCAGGTGTGCTCTTACATGTACCCTATGATTGCCAATCCTATCATTAACTAAACCAGAGCTTATTTTAACACATCTGTTTAATACACCTGAGCACAAATGTGAAACCTGGTGTGTGTGTGTGTGTGTGTGTGTGTGTGTGTGTATATATATATATATATATTGCACTTTCATAAGGAGTTCATCCAAATTGAGAACTTTTTATAAGACTTTCAATGACAGGATCTTCTGCATCACCAGACCATACTATTTCTATTTTCTAATAATCTATTTTCCATAGATTGCTTCATCTGTTGTTTATCATTATTTCAAGTTCTTCAACCATCATTACATTGTGTTAATTTTTAAAGACAGGGAAGATTCCTGCCTGCAATAACTTAAACAAATTTCCCTAGCTATACTTTTTAAAATTTTATGATAATATGGTAGAAATACAAATATCATCTGTACTGATAAATTTTTATTTGCAAGTTTTTACTCTTTAAAAATTTTCTTTTAATATTCTTACTCTCTCCTAAGTACATAATAATATGAATGCATAAGGATTTACTACAGCTTATCTACTTTTTCTTGTCTACTTTCAATGTCTTCCTAAATTATATTTCAAGTCTGATTTTCTCAGGCTTTTGTAAAGTTGATATCTGTGTCACCAACATAACAGTATCTGATTGATATTGGTGTGGCTGTTTACATGGTGTGGATGTTTACAGCTCAAATTACAGAGGGGAAATATTGTAGCCATTCAACTACTCTAACTTTAGCTCAAAATTATTCAAAATATTTTATTTAAACATATATGCCCAACTTCGTTCAGATCAGTTAAAAGTGAACATATAAACCAATTTTAGAACATTGTTCTCACTACTTTATTTTTGTTTAAACTATGAATTTTGAATTCCACCTTGATTTCAATAGAATAATAAGGATCATTCTTAAAAAGTTGATTAAAATTAAAAGTTTTATTTTATGATATAATGTTACCATAAAGCTTTATGTGTACCAGCTTAGCATCTATTCTTCATAAAGTTACAATAAAAATAGCCACTGCACCTAATTCTATATTCCATAATATGCCGGGGTTCATGTCCCAGCATCAAGAAGGGTTCAGGAATCTGGAAAAGGCTGTGTGCAGATGACATAGAAATCCAGAGACTAATACAGAGTCGGGAGATGAGTTATAATTTTGAAAGGCGTTGGGGGTCAGAGGACCTTCAGCTAAAGGAACTGAAGAGTCCCTCCTTGTTTAGGACCCTTGCTTTTATTAACACAATTTGCCCTGAGGCAAGGTGGAGATAATACACTTCAATGGGTAAGGCATCAAAGGGTACAGAGTCCATTGTCAGAATGGGAGAATAGCCTACGGCTGTTCAGGTGTTTGGCCAGTAGGAGGCAATAACATGTAGATTAGGATGCCCTTTAACTGTCTGGCAGTCACAATCAGTTTCCTATTCAGGTTTGGGGAAATGCCTTTAGCCATTTCCAACAGGTGACTATATGTGTGACTCAACCCTGTTGAGTCCCCAAGTTTCATCAACCTTATGATGAAACTCTTAAAATTATGACATGCTGGAATTGGTCTACTGCACCATAATAAAAAAGACATCAAAGAAAAAGTTATACTCTAAGTTTTTAATAAAAAGGAAATGTTGATAATTTTATTGCTGTGCATGGTAGGATTCGGTGCAGTTGATCATAATACTGAGAATGAATATTAATTCAAGGTTGAACACAGTTCTCTTATTTGCTTCTCTCATTTTAGTAGCAATAAAAAGTTACTTATATTATTTCACACTTTCCACCATTTTTATAACATTTAAATTTAATGATGAGTAAATGTTGACAAATACTCTGTCATTGCATTGTGACATAATAAAGATGCATTTTGGTTACACAGGAGAACAAATTATGTAAAACTTTTAAACAAAGTAAATAAAACTTATATACAAAGCTGTAATATCAAAAATAATACATATATACTATATCTTTGATTAATTAGCATATACAGATTAGCTGTGTAAATGTGAAATCAGTTTTAAAATGTGGTCTTGACAAAGATTTAAAAATATCAAACTAGAATGAATCATAGAATCCTTTTAATAAACTTGCTTATTTATGTAAATGAAATAGTTTTTCAAGTTTCATACGATTACTCAGATTCTCCTAGGTGTTTAAGTTTATCTGTGTATAGTATCAGGAACTTAACACACACGTATACTTTACTCTTACTTGGTAAGATTTAAGAAATGCATAAATGAAATAATATTAAGATACTCTAGGTTTAGTGCCTTTCCCACATTAAACATTCAAAAATGTTGAGAATTTGTATTGGATGGTATGGGAGGGAAATGCTAGGAGAATATGCCAGCGCAGTGCTTAAGGTGCCTTGCACTGGCATTTTTCTCCTTGTCATTATTCAGTGACAACATGTGGCTAGTATGAAATAACCATGAGTATTTGCTCCAAGGAAATCAGAAAACACTATAACTCAGGTCTTATTTTTCTCTCAGAGAAATGAAACCTACAACTCTTTACCAAGAGCCTCCCAGTTTGCCTCAAAACACATTAGCATTTTAAAACTTTTATTTTGATTAAACTTATTGGGGTGACATTGGTGAATAAAACCATACTGGTTTCAGCTGTATAGTTGTGTAATACATCATCTGCACACTGCATCATGCGCTTACCACCCAGAGTCAAGACTCTTTCTGCCACCATTTATCCCCCATTCTACCTCACCCACCCTCCTTTTCCCCTGGTAATCATCATACAGTTGTCTGTGCCCTCCCCCCTTAATGCTTTCACCTTTTACACCCAACCCTCCCCTGTACCCCCAAGCCCTAATTATTTGACTGTATAGCAGAACCAAACATACATACTTATATTTGAAAGGGAAGTTCCAAATCATGAAAGCAATCAAAATTTTCATTCTCACCAGAGGCTGATGACTCTAAGGAGCTCAGGGATCCAGCTAATGACCCTGTTCCCTCAAAGGCATAGGTCTGGAGGGAGTCCAAAGGATGAGCGTAAGTATCAGTGTTAGCTTCTTCTAGCTTTTCTAGGATGAATTCCTTGATTACAGCATCATCTGGGCCAAGCTGCCATGACATCCTGCACAAGCTCCTAATCTCTGCAGATCTGGTTTTCCGAGTCCGAGGTTCCCTCATGAAGGTGCTGCATCTCAGCTCTCCAACAGCAAAGGCCTCCGTATCTTCTTCTCCTGTCCCCCCATCATCATATTTGAATATATTCTCTCTGCAATCTTTACTTTTCTCAGGAAATAGAGTCTGTTTTCTTCGTTGTTGTAGATGTAGGATCATAAAAATAAACCCTGACAAACAAAGCATACCAAAATATTAACACAATATAGCATAACATAACATGACATATTATGATAAACTTTACAATCCTTGCTTTTGTGACAAGATCAAGACATAAGATTTGATTTTTTTATCTTAAGACAAAAAAGATATATTTGTTGTTGAAAATTTACCAAAGGGGCTTGCAGAAAGACATGGGATGGATAGCAAACTTCCTGTTTGATGATTTAGAGTAGAACAACATCATGAAAACATAGTGAAATGTTTTTGATGATGATCAATTTAAAACCTCTAAAATTTTATTTTTTTCTTATATATTGGAAATAGAACAAAGCAGAATATGAGAACACTTTCCCATCTATTTGCATTTGTCCATTTAGTAACCAAAGAGTCAGGTTAATAGAAATTAAGCAAAATGGACCAGTTTGATAGTCCCCATTGAGGCAAATTTGGTGGTATAATTATTTTCTAAGTTAATATTTACTGCCTACAAAGTGTGCACTGGGCAATTTTCTAAAAGCTTTTAATCTGTTCACTAATTTAATTGTGAGACCCATATGTTATTCTTAATTCCCTATTAAAGTTGAGGAAATGGAAGCCTGGGGATGTTCCATAACACACTCAGTCACACATCAAGGAAACAGAAAGCTGGCACTCAAATCAGATAGTTGGTTCAGAATCTGCAATTTGTGATACCACATTAATTTTAGAAATTCTAAACTATCACGTCTTTTAATCATAACACTGGTATATCCACTATCAATATTTATTAATAAGGTAATTTTAATAACATGTAGAAATGGAACGATTTCAGTACACTCTAGATTTTAAAGGAAATGTGTGTGTGTGTGTGTGTGTGTGTAACCAATTCTTACTCAATGTTGGATCTTATGTGGCTGTTCAGAATTCCATAGATAGAGCTAGAACAAAAATTGAAGCAATACCATTAACATTATCACAGAGATAAATACATTAGGTGATATTTATATAAAACTTACATTTAAAATATTGAAACACTGCTCTTGACTCAAATAAGGTCATCATGTTTAAATTTAGGTACTGCACTTTAAAACTCGCCTGATCCCTGGCCAGGTGGCTCAGTTGGTTGGCACATCATCCTGTACATCAAAAGATTTGGGGTTTGGTTCCTGGTCAAGTCACATACCTAGATTGAGAGCCCGACCCCTAGTTCAAGAGCATAGGGGGCAACAAATCCATTTAGCTCTCATCTCTCTCTTTCTCGCTCTCTCTCTCTCTCTCGCTCTCTCTCTCTCTCCCTTCAAATCAATGAAACGATATCCTTGGGTGAGAATTAAAAAAAACCCTAAACCAACCAACCAAACAAACAAAACCTCTCAATTGAGATATACAGTTGAAATTGAAAGGAGTCTAGTAAATAATTTCTAAAGTTATGAACTGGAGACAGTCCTCATGAAGCACTCAGAGGAAACTACCATTGGTGGACCCCACTTTCCTTCCTCTAAATATTATGCCTGTGCAGCTGCCCTTGGTTTACCTGCAGAACTTCAAGACTTGGTTTAGGTCTAATAATTCAGTACTTGCCAAAACTACACTGTTTTAACTGCTTCTTGATTCTGATGTCTAGCTATGTAGCTCTAAATTCATTTTTATGATCCAGGATCATTAAACATAACAGGAAACACTGAAGCTACGTATAAGAGAATGTCGGATGGTAAGAGAGGATAGCATGGGTTCTGAAGCCTTGAGAAAGTTGAGGCGAGCAAAGGCAAAGCAAGTCCTGAAACATATTTTATGTCAGTTGAGCCATAAGTTTGGAACAGTGGCTGTTATAATTGCTTTCAAGACTTAGGAAGGTTGTGTTGTTTTAATGTATAGTTATGCGGTATGGAGGAAAGGGATTTAGACTATAGATACTGGTAGATTATGTAAAAACTTATGCTAAATGAATCAGTTGTTGTCTTGAAAGCCTGACTACATAAAACAATAATAACAACAACAACAAGAAATAATGGAGTTATCTGACAGCAATTTCTTTTGTGTTTAGCACATCATTATTGCTACTAATCTATATAATAAAAGGGTAATATGCAAATTGACCTTAACAGCAGAACGACTGGGAATGACTGGTCACTATGACACACACTGACCACCAGGGGGCAGATGCTCAATGCAGGAGCTGCCCCCTAGTGGTCAGTGCACTCCCACAGGGGGAGCTCTGCTCAGCCACAAGCCAGGCTGATGGCTGCCAGCAAAGCAGTGGTGGCGAGCGCCTCTCCTGCCTCTTCAGCAGCATTAAGGATGTGCGACTGTAGCTTAGGTCTTCTCCCTGCTGGCAAGTGAACATCCCCTGAGGGCTCCCGGGCTGCCAGAGAGATGTCTGACTGCCAGCTCAGGCCCAATCCCCCAGGGAGCGGGCCTAAGCCAACAGGTGGACATCCTCTGAGGGGTCCCAGACTGCAAGAGGGCATAGGCCAGGCAGAGGGACCAGCCCCCCCACCCCCCGCCCCGAGTGCACAAATTTTTGTGCACCAGGCCTCTAGTTTTTACATAACTACGTATGTTGCAATGTGTGTGTGTGTGTGTCAAAAACATTCCTAAACAAATGAGCAAATACATACATACTCATATAATTCAAGAATTCTTGATTTTCAGCTTGAAGTGAATATTTATCATTTTTAAAATGTACCTCACTTGATTTAAGAATTATAATACATTATAATTCTTAAATTAATTTCTCTTAAAGAGAAATTAAATATGTGCACAGACACAAAGCCACGTTATATTGCTATCATTATAATAAAAATTATCTATTTTCTATATTTATGTTATCTTCAATAAATGAAGATATGTTCAGTTAAGCACTACTTACCAAGTATTATTATCACAGCGCATATCAGAACAGCAGTCATGATCTCTGTCCTGGGTTCCATGAGTAGCATATCTTTACTGTGGCAGATCTCTATTCTGCCACTGTCACCACAGTCACAGACTTGGATGGTAAGGGTGTTTGTACTTGTAAGGGCTGGGATACCATTGTCGGCAATTAAGATGGATATGTAGAAGACAGGCTCTTCTTGAAGGCTGAAACCAGTTCTATTAGTCAAAATTACAGCTGTGTTATCTAAAACAAAAATCCACGCGCATAATTTTTTCAACAATACATAAAAAATTCATACCAGGCATATGTACTAGAGGCAATAGGATAGAAATATCTAAATAACTTTTCTTCAGTTCAATTTATTACACCTATATAATATGCATTTTCCTTTCTGTTGTTTTTTGTATTTCCATCTCCCCAAAAAATATTTTCTGTAGCAATCAGACAAACTTTATAAGGTAATCTATAAAACTTAAACAAATGAAAGTCTTTTGAAATGTATGCCTACTTATAATTATTCTCAAATAATATTTTTAAAACAAATTCTCCATCTTGCTCTTGAAGTCTATAAAACCCTTTTGATTCTAGTTACCAGAGAGAAATAATGTGATGTAATTTACATTTTTTCCAATATATAGTGTATTTGTAATCACAAACATTAAACCAAATCAATTATTTTCTTTGTTTCAATATCCATATTTTGCCCCAGTACATGTTATTATTTCTTATGTTGATATTTGGGCTTTCTATCCTAAGTTCATTTGAGCTCCCTTCACTGGGGAATTTGACCAGGACTAAAAGGAGATAACATGTCTGCATTTATTCTTCTAACAAAAGATCCCCAAGATTAAAGATTAACCTCTGTTTTCTGGAAGAACAGCTGCTGCTATTGGTTATAGATTCTTGAATAATAAAGACTATGGTTCATATCTTTGGGATATAAAGGAGAATTAAAACAGAAATCCATAGGATGATAAAAATGTTTTACTGAAGTTAAAGAAAAAAAAATAACAGAGTGACTCTATAAAGTTAGTCACTTCTATATGGAAGGAAAGGAAATTTTATCTCTCCACATGAAATCTTTTAGAACATTTTGTTCTTAGATTGATATAATCATTTCATTTTGAAGGAAAAAGAATAATATTAAACCTATTTTATATAGTTATAGCCAGAATTAATGGCACCAAATATCTTTGAATTAATCGAGCTAACATGAGTACAAGTTAAGTATCTATCACTCTGATCCCCAGGCATAGATTGAAATTTGAGTTACCTGATGACATGAAAGGAACCATTCTGTCAGAACTGCAGTTATATTTGCAAAGCTATTCAAACTTTTTAAGGATTTATAGACACTCATGACTTGAAAAAGTGCCTCTAATTTCAAGAAATCCAGTAGAAAATGGAGATAGTATTTTCAGAACTTGACTTTGGGTTTTCTTTCCCATTTTCATTTCCACTTCTAGCTCTATGTCTCAACATGATCAGTATGCAGTTAAAGTATAAAAAGCAATGCTGTAAGTTTGCTTAAAATAAACCACAATGCTAGGAAAATGGGTCAAAAGCCATCAAGAATGAATGTAATTACCTTGATTATCTATGATTGTAAATTTAGAGTTCTTTGTGTCTTCCACAGATAAATTAAAATAAAAATTTGGACTTTCTATGGAGTCATCTTTATCCACTGCACTGATGGTCTGAATCACCTAGGGGGAAAAAACGTTTTGTTTTATTGTGTTTTTTATTCAGGAAAAAGATCACTGTCATTGTTGTTATTAGATTTTTTTATTAAAATCGCTTTACCAAAATCTTTATGAACATTGCAGAGGATAACTATCAAACGGATAGAGATATTAACATATTTTCTCAGCTTAAAAATATCTTTGCTTGCCCTGATCAAAACAGTGTTTTGCTATCACATAATGAATATATTTTTGTTGATGGGCCAGATGGTTTCCATAAGCTAAGTTTGTTAGAAGATCTCAAAGCACTGTAGCTCTATGTCAAGACTCCCTCCCATTCTTCCAGCCTAGATGTCTCCCTTCCTTCTCTCCTTCTCCCTTCCCCATCTGAATGCCAGCCATTATGATTTGCTGCAATTATACATTCCCTGCTTATACTGAGAGCGTAACTGTGGAGAAGTTATTGTCTTCCTAAAGTATTTGCTAAAGTAATGAGTTTGTTTAAATTTATTTCAGGAAATAGTGCATTTAAAGCTTAGGGACAATGTACATGCTTTCCTTTGACCCATAAAGATTATAGGAAAAGTGTTCCACCTCGGATAAGTTCCTCTCTCTTGCATCATAAGAAGTGAAGTAATGCAGCTATGAGCAAATCAGATCTCAATTTATTATTTTCTTTAGACAGGGATGTGTCAGTCAAGTGGCTCCTTATTGTCAAAAAAGAAATAAAAAGATATGCTCAGGGTCAGATAGTGAGATTGTGATTAATTCTGGAAATCAAAAGTTCATTCTATAAATTAACAGTGTGTTTATACTCTTGAACACACAATTTCTGAGTTATTACCTTTTAATATTTTCAGAAATTACTTTTAATTATAATTTACATCTGATATTTACAGCCATATGCTTAATAACTTTGTTGTGTTTGATTTTATGTGTGCAGGTAGGTGTTTAATTATGTCTTCTTTTTTTGTGAGTCATTTGAAAAGAATGATACAACCTGTACTCTAAAATTCCTGTCTTATAAGGATTTAGTAAATTTAAATACAATTAGATGAGTACATGGGCAGAATTGGGCTTTGTTAAAAGTAATTTTATTAATATTAGCAGTGATAGTTAAGACTAGTGTTGTGCATTACAAGTTTTTCACATGGGACCCATTTCCTTCTTAAGAGATTCTGAATGAGTTATAAGATGTCTGTTACACTCAGCATTGCAGAGAAACACTGTCAAAGTGTGACACTTTTAAAAAGAAACTTAAGTTATACAGAACCCACAACATAAAAGCATGTGATTAATATGTCCGCAATTTATTATGAGTTCCTACCTGACCAGAGCTTGCATTTTCACAAACGTAAATCTTATAAAATTCAGGGAACTCAGGAGCATGATCATTAATATCAAGAACCTGTACATACACAGGGACTTCAGAAATCTGTTCTTCATTATCTACAACAAACAGAATACAAATAGATAATGCTGTCTTTAGGGGGCAATTTTTTTTTAAAAAAAATGGTATGTTATTATTTCATTTGAATAAAAACTATCTAAACACAGGCTGCCTATATCATTCATATATTTATCAATAACACAGAGTGGAAAAGAAGGTTATCAAGATATTTAACTCAACCAATATTTATCAAGTGCCTTGTACCTGCCATAGATGTAGGAGCTGATGAGAACAAGTAATAGAGAAGATAGTTATATAAACATCTTCCTAAAACCCAGGAAGTTTTTAAAATATTTGTATCAATTCATCTAATCATGATGAATATGTGTTATTATCCTTCCCCCAGCTCTACTGATAAAATCATTGAGAAAATGTTTAATTTTATACATTGTAGATAATTGACTTGCCTAAGCTCATAGCTGAAGTAGAAAAGGCAGGTAAGAAGCCAGCATCCAGTACTCTCAATGAAGAGCATCATTCAGTATAGTTTCAAAAACAAAAACAGGACATGAAATATAATCTAAATACATGGTAAAATAAGATAATTAACATAATATCTAAGGATGCATACATTGAGTTGGGAGGATTTTCTTAAGTGAGCCAAGAAATACAGAAACCATGAAAGACTGGGAAGATATGGTTAAAAAATTATTTAATGGCAAAAGAAATGTAAAAAAAGCCAAAACAACAACCAAACAACAATGATCAGAAAAGGTGTTTGCATCACAAAATGAAATATTAACACCTCACATTTTCAAATCCTGACAAATGATATGAAAAAGACAATTCATTCCCAAACCACAAATTCACAGATGAGAAAATTCAAATGATTCATACCAAAGTTTCTTAACCTCATCACTATTGATATTTTAGACTAGATAATTATTTGTTTTGCGGGGTTATCTGTACATTGTAGGATGCATAGCTTCATTTTTTAGTTTCTATTAAATGCTAGTCATGATCCCTACATTGGTTGTGATAATTAAAACTGTCCTCAGACATTGTCAGATGTCCTAAGAGGAAAAAGAGCCCACAGTTAAAGAGATGCTGCTCTCTAATAACAGTATTCACAAAGATTTTTGCTCACCAGAAGTAAGGAGAATGATTATTTGGTCCATGTAATTTATGTTAAATGTGCAAAACAGACCCAGTGATGGGGGGCAGTACTGAGAAATAATGGGATGTACACATGTTCTAGAATGTAATCTGGCAATAGATAGTGAAAGTTAAATGACACATAATTAGCTTGGGCACTGTCACCGGAAAGGGACTGGGACCAAGGTGGGTCTACCTAAGTTCGATCTGGAATGTGTGGGTCCTTGACTTCATGCAGGACATGAGTGATTTTGAGAGTGCTTTCATTAAAGCTGGGGACACTGAAATTAAGAAAGGGCTTACGATAGAAGAGGCAAGATCCCAGCAATAGGAGTGAACCTAGGCAGAGCTGCCTTGGCCCTTTGGAAAGGGAGGGAGTCTAGACTAGCCTAGACGTGACTGCGTTGGCCCTTTAGAAAGAAAGTCAAAAGGGCAGAAGAAGTGACCCAGCCGGGCTGCATGGATTCGGGAAAAACAAGCTACAGAGGCAAAAGCAGTGCCCTTAGAGACAGCTTCAAGGGGTTAGTCCAGGACAAGCTGCTGCTGCCCACTGCTTCCCTGGTTGCAGTTCTCCTGGGAACCTTTACTGCTTAGGAGAAACAAAGCAAAGGAGGAAAGAAGGAGTGGGGGGAGGAAGGCATGGGTATGCTCAAGGGAGAGAGCGTGCACTGGGTTCTTTGTCCTAAGAGTTTTTATCTGTTTTTTAAAGGTGGGAATTTTATGGGAGTTCTTAGGGGAGAATCTAAATAAAATACTCATGACTTTCCAGTTGTGTCTTTTAATATGCTGATTCATCCAGATGAGCATATAGAGGGATCATGGTCATTCTCTGGTTAGTTTCACCTTCAAAGAATGTCACCAAAGAGGGACCAGATGCGACAGTGTTGCCCCACCAGGGTCTGGAATGTGTAAACCATTTGCTCCTGTGTCCTTGATTAGGGAAGATAAAAGCTTGTGACTTATTATCTGGCTGTAAATTACTCAGCCTCACAGCGGTTCTCAACCTGTGGGTCACAAACAATGAAAATACATCCCACATATCAGATATTTACATTACGATTCATAACAGTAGCAAAATTACAGTTATGAAGTAGCAATGAAAATAATTTTATGGTTAGGGGTCACCACAACATGAGGAACTGTATTAAAGGGTCGCGGCATTAGGAAGGTTGAGAACCACTGTAAACTACCTGTCTTAGTTTCCCCATTCCACTTGCCAAGGAATTTTTCTAGCTTCTTACTATCCTGCCTCAGCAACAGTATATAAGAATATAAGATTCAATTAATTTATTCCAGAATTGTTTGCATCACACTGAAATAACAAAATAATCTAAATGTATATCAAAAGGGAATTGGCAAAATAAGTTATAACCGTACTATGGAATTCTGTGTGCTTATTAAAAATGAAAGAGTCAATGTAACAAATATATTAATATAATGAGCTTTAAAATGGATTTTAATCTTGGTTCTCAACTTGAAAAAAATATTTAAATACTGTTTATTTCAGTCGTTTCTCAGTAAAATGCAAATGATAGTAGTAACTACTAACAGAACTTTATTTATTTAATAAGTATTAAATAAATTAATGCATATAAAGCATTTATAAGATCGCTTAGCATATAAAGAAGCAATAAATATCAAATATTATGTTATTTATATACTAACCAGAAGTGATGTACATGATATTTTGTGAAATGCAAGTTGCAGCATAATATGTTCTATATTTGTATAACTTTATTTTAAATCTTTCCTCTTTTTATTTAAAAATGCTGTGGAAAAGGTACATAAACTAAAGATTAGGAGGAGTAAGGTTCCTTTGTTTCTCAATGTTTCTATATATAACTTACATGCTCATTTGTTCATGGAAAAGCATTATATTTAAAAGTTTAATTTCAATGCAGACATTTTTTATCTTTATTGTTGAGAATATTACAGATGTCTCCCATTTTTCCTCCATTGCCTCCCTCCATCCGGTTCCTGACACACCCCAGGCCTTCATCTCACTATTGTCTGTGTCCATAGATTATGCATATACGCAGATACTTTTTTGGTTAAACTCTGCTCACCCCCTCTCCTCCCTTCCCTTTGAGCTCCATCAGTCTGTTTGGTGCATGCTTCCATGCCTCTGGAACTATTATGTTCCTCGGTTTATTTTGTTCTTCAGATTCCACATATGAGCGAGATCATGTGATACTTGTCTTTCTCTGATTGGCTTGTTTTGCTTAGCATAATACTCTCCAGGCCCCTCCATGCTGTCTCAAAGGGTAAGAAATCTTTATTTTTTTTTATAACTGCATAGTATTCCATTGTATAAATGTACCATAGCTTTTTTATCCACTTACCTACTGATGGGCACTTGAGGCTATTTCTTAGATATTGTAAGTAGCACTGCTATGAACATAGGGGTGCATATATTCTTTCTGATTGGTGTTTCAGGGTTCTTAAGATATATTACTAAAAGTGGGATCACTATGAAATGTCAGTTTTGTTTTTAATTTTTTGAGGAAACTCCATACTATTCTCCATACTATTCTTCCACCAGCAATGTACTAGGGTTCCCATTTCTCCAAATCTTTGCCAATACTTGTTGGTTTATTGATGGTAGCCAATGCAAAAGCAACCATCCCTCAAAATGCAAAGGGAACCCACTGTACAGGAGAACATAATTATCAATGAGGCATAGGACAGGGTGTTAATTTCCAAAATATATAAAGACCTCATACAACTCAACAAAAGGAAGACAAATAGTCTGATTTAAAATGGACAAAGGACATAAATAGACACTTCTCCAAAGAGGACGTACAGATGGCCAATAGTCATATGAAAAAAAAAGCTCAAAGTCACCAATCATCAGAAAGATGCAAAGACAATTTTTTTTAAAGAAGACAATTTTCTCTTTTGAAAATAAGGGAAAAGACTGTCCCTCCTTCCTCATAGAACATTTATCCTAGAAAACTTATAATTACAATGTCTCTGCTTCTTTAAAATATATGTAAGCCTTTAAAAGTTAAAGAGCCATAGCTGGTATGACTCAGTAAATAAAACATCAGCCTGATTACTTAAGTGCCCCAGGTTCAATTCCAGGCAAGGGCACATACGTGGGTTGCAGGCTCCGGGTGCATGCGAAAGGCAACTAGAAGGCAACTCTCTCTCACATCAATGTTTCTCTCTCAGTATCTCTCCCCCTCCTTTCAATCTCTCTAAAAATAATGGAAAAAAATATCCTTGGTGAAGATTAAACATACTTGCATGCATGCATACATACATACATACATACATACATAAAATAAAAGTTAAAGAAACCTCTTGCCAACTTTCCAATCCAGGTTGGTATTTCTCAAATATTGGGAGCCAACTCGTTGGAATGTAATCATCAAGCAGGAAGCACTGCTTCCTTCCAGTTTCTGGGTAGGAGGCAAAGTTTAGCAAAGGCCTTGACCCAAGTTGCAAACTACCTCTTGTCATACAGGAATGAGAAGCTTAATTTTCATTTGGATAAAGTAAATTAGCTAACACAGATGGTCACTCTAACTACTTAGTGAATTTTAAATAACTATGTGTGACCCCTGATGAGAAGTCCTCCTAATTGTTTATATTGAGAACTTGCTTGCAATGGGCTATATCTGCCTGGGTGTATAAAGGGTTAGGAATCTTTCTGTCTTGGCAATTAGTGGATTTCCTTTAAGGGACATCACATTCTGGTCAATCATAAGACTGACCAATGACTGTTTTCCCTCTATTCCACTGTTGTAGACCTCTCTTGCTGTGTTGGGATGAGATTTTGAAAAACTCATGGCTTTAATGAAATACATAAACCATTAAGAATTATTTTAAGACTCTTGTCTATTGTTTTATAATCATGATGAATGGATAGAATATGACATTAACATATTTAAAAAGTATTTCTAGAGATTTCAAGATAGAATGACTCAAAATTTAAGGCTCATCTTTTAATGGATTAAACATATAATATATCACCATAGAATAACTTTTTGCTTAAATAAACTAGAAAAAGTATTGCAGGCAAAAATAAATTTAAGAAAAATTAGTAAGCAATTCATTTAAATATTGTATTCTTTGTTTCTGAAAAAAATCTGTTTAAAATTAAGTTCAAATTAAACCTCTGACATGACTACATAAAACATACATATATCGTCACAGCTTCATTTTAAAGTAATTAGTATTTTTATTCACTTAGCTGGCATGCTGAGAAATACTTGTTGCTTCACTTGGGAAGTTTTCCAGGAACCAGACTAAGCACAGTGAACTTCATTTGCTGATAAAACAAAATGTTGCAAGGCAACATCTCTTTCCTACAATCAACAGACCTGTTGTGTTGCAAGCTTTAGGCACTGGACACATACAACAGGGTTTTTTATAGCACTTTTTATGGGATGCCCTGTTTTCCACGATTCAGGAAGTTTGTTTACATTATTACTGAACTTAAATTGTGAAATGAGTTAAAAGCTATAATAGGAATGAGCAGACATTGTTAATTGAAAATAATAAAAATATACATGTATGCATTGACATACAAAATATCACTAAACTTTATTCCCAGTAACATTTTAAACTGGTTTTTGTCGCTATGTTCAGAAGTTATTGAATGGTTTAAAAAGTATGGTTCTCAAATGAGTACTTACATAGTTCTCTGGCTGTAATGCTGAGGTTGCACCAAGCACTCATCTCTCTGTCAAGAGGGTAAGTTGTGATGATGGTGCCATTGTCATCAATTTGGAACGTGTTGCTTTTGGTAATAGAATACCTGAACCAAATAAAGTGTTCCTCAATTTTATTTACTCTGTATAACAGTGATACATAACATCTCTTTAAAAGCAACAAGACAAATTGTTAAGGCATGCCCACATAGATAATTAAGTTCAGACCAGTTTCAGAAAGGTGTATTTATATATTTAAGATTCAACTCAAAGGAAATTGGGGGGAAAACACTAAAACACTTAAATTGATGTATGCTCAATCTAAACTCACACTCATTTCTAAGAGAGAATTTTAATAAATGAGTGACTTGTTTAAAACAAAATGGCAAATTGCATTTATAAAGAGAAAGAAGAGAATGTGAAAAATGGGAATAAAATGGGAATAAAAATTAATTTTTGAACCTCTTTTTAAAAAGTTTAAAGCAAGATAAAACATATTCTCAGCCTAGACTGTTCTGAGTCCCTTTCCAACACCACATAATTGCTTGTTAAATCTGAGCATCACATTATAATTACTTGATAGGAGACCTATGGGAAATTGCTTGTTTTTGTTTGCTGAAATAAAACAATTTGATAATATTTAATAAATAAAGCATATATATAGGGATGGGCAAAAGTAGATTGATGGTTGTCCATATGGAAAGTAATATAATACTTAATAAATTATAATAAAAGAATAAACTTTTGCATATTCACAACTGTAAACCAACTTTTAAAATTCATGATATGATGAAAGTGGCATATCAAATCTCTGTGGAAAGTTAAACTAGGTTTTTAATAATAAATGGTGCTAGTATTATAGGAATAGCCATTAGAAAATGATAAACTTATATCCATACCTTCAGCCTTCCATTAGAATAAAGTTCAAAGGATACCCAGGAATTCTGCACCCAGATTACAACATTTTTGGACTTGTCTGCCTTCCCTTATGATTACTGTCAGATTATAGTTTGGCAGGAATACCACACAAGTGAGATAATATTATTCTCTCTCTCTCTCTCTCTTTCTCTTTCTACATATATATACATATATATACATATATATACATATATACATATAGATAGGTATAGATATCCCAGGAGTAAGGTTAGTAGATCTAATGTGCTATTAGATCATACATGGAAAGAAGACAGATCATAAAATTCTCTCATGCAAAAGCCTGGAAATTGATCTCCAAATCCACAATGAAAGAAATCTTTGAAGTACTCAGCAAAAGTTTACCTGCCTGCAAATGATTAATAATAAAAATTAAAAAAAGAGTAATGACTAGGGTTTGGTGATGGCTTCTCATTGCACAGATATTCCAGATGACTCTGATGAAACATCAATAAACTTTGCCAAAAATCATGTGGCAAAGATCAGAACATTTTAATCTTGAATTGATAGGTCTCTAAAAATATCAGTAATTTTTAGCTTGGTGTTCCAAGAAGAATTAGAATCGGAATTACAGAGAACTAAGCTTTAGAGGAATTCAGTTTTAACTCTATTCACTTTTAAACCTTTATAATCAATTTACTTACAGACCCACAGATGGTCACATTTCCTACTTAAGAGATTTGTTGACTAATGAAACATTAGTTTAACAGTTACTACATTGTTTTAAACATCTAAAATATCCTTTTCTACAATACACCATTTGAAATAAAACCAATCAAATGTTAGTGATTATTTCAAAATTAAAGTTTTTAAAAATTATGATCCTGAGTCAAGATTAACATTTTAAGTAACAATCAATAAACAGATTTAAGAAAGAGCACACGTCTGCAATCTATAAGGCTAATATGCAAAGTGTCCTCTCGGGAGTTTGGCTGGGAGACCAGAAGTTCGATTGCTCACTATGACGTGTGCTGACCACCTGGGGCTAGCGCGAAATGAAGGAAGGCCCTGGCTGGCAGCCGGAAGGCCCCAATCAGCCCTGATCTCTGGCCAGGCCTAGGGACCCTACCCATGCATGAATCTCGTGCAGTGGGCCTCTAGTATATTTCATAAAATGCCTGGGCTAAAAAGCTTCAACAGTAGAGTTTTGATGCTTAGAAAATTAATCTTTGGTTCACTTCAAATGTCCTTTTATGGACTCTTCATTCTAATATATACGAGATACAACTCAGGCATAAGACCAGATTAAATACATTTTTGAATATTATTTTATTTAAACAATATTTAAATACACCACATTTGGATCAACATTGTTTCTTCTTTGATTGAGCACCCTCACCTCCTTACCCCACTTAATGGAGTTGGTTGCATCCAATTTTAGATGGTGACTGCCTATTTCTTGCATGTTTGCAATTGCTTATTTTACTGCTTTTTAACCAATAATGAGGTCACCTATTATAAATTATCTAAATTGTTGCTAAATTTGATAAGTACTATGCAGAGAAATATAGACATATCCTTGTTACATTCACATCTTATATTTAAGCCAATCTGTGTTCATTCATTCATTACTGCAAGGTTGGCCTTCCAGACATACCTGATAGGACTTCTGTTGTCATCTGGGTCTATGGCAGAGACCACACCCACCGACGATCCCTGTGGGCTTCCTTCAAAGATCTCAAATATGTAATACGGAAGGAGGAAGACAGGAGGTTCATCTTCATCTTCCACCCGGACCCTAATAAAAGTGGTGGAAGCCACAGTGTGATACTTCTTGAGCTGCTCATCAACATGGCTGTTTTTAACTTTTGCTCTAATATTATAGTAGGTCTGTTGCTCATAATCCACTTTCTACAAAGAAATACAGTGTACATAAAAGAAATGGCTTCAGTAACCCACCACATTACTTAGCAAAAGCAAGTTTTTGTTGTTACATTATCTCAGTTGTAGTTAGGTTTCACTTTTTCACTCCCTTAGATTCTTCTTTTTTAAATGTTTCCTTTTTATTAAATTTATTGGGGTGACATTGATTAATAAGATGATGTAGGTGTCTATGATTCATGATCTACATATTGTTTTTACTTTTTATCTACTGGATCCCTCTGATGTTATTATTGAGCAGTGGCACAGCAATCTCCTACTTGTACTTTGTTATTTTTATCTATTACAAAATGTTTTGGGATAATAACTATATTTTTTAAATTTAGGTTAAAATTACACTTTTCTGGGCAAAAGTATCTTATAAAATTAAGAATTATTTTCCTGTATTTTAAGATCTTTTCAAAGGGTTTGTCCTCTAGCTGAAATTCTGAAATATGCTCTACATATAAATAGAAACTCTGTAATAAGTAAATCTCATCTCTAAATACCTTTTCTTTCTAAATCAGAAAGCAAAGGTTATCATTTCAATTACTTAATAAAGCAAAGCTAACTGCTTATACAAAATAATCATGTGTTTTTCTGATTTGATTTTGCATTATTCTGCAAAGCAAATAATTTTAATATATTTACCTTTTTCAATATAACAATGCCTTCTTGGGTCTCATTATTAGTAATGATGTCGAATGTTTGTGATTCATCATTTTCAATGCTGTAATCCATTTCTGCATTCTTTCCTATGTCCCTATCATGTGCCATGATTGTTCCTACAGAAGTACCAATGGGTGCAGATTCGGAGACATTCATGCGGTATAAGCCTTCAAAAACAAAATTCAAGATACTTTGTATTAACATAAGACTCTCCCAATTGTAGAAAATCCCATGAACACTTTTCCACCTTGCATTTTTATAATCTGAACATTTCCTTAATAATATAATTGAGCATATATTATAATCCCTTAAATATATCTTAGGAAGTTCTATTACCAGTACATATAACTTTCAAACTTCTATTCATATAAATACATTCTCAATATTCATGGATTTATTTTTTATTGTACCCTTCAACCATCCCAAATTAAATTTGATAAAAAGAGCTTTTCAATTTCACTCAAGCATTCTGATACCTAAAGTTACCAATAAACGTAAGCATGAATTAAAGATGGGAGAGACTAAAAGAAAATAGTTGAGTTCTAAGTATGATTGTTTGATTTGAAGATGTTGAGCCTAGATTCCATTAAACATACTGGAAGTTAAAAAGAAAGTTGGATCCTTAAAATTTGGAAAGTGGATATAGTGGAAAATCTGTGTTTAAATTAGATGACCCTACTGCTTTAGCATAACAAAATAATGACAATTGTACCTGAAATGCAGAGACAACAAATAGAAATAACTAGCTCTTTTCCTCATTTGGCAGAAGAATCTTGTATAAAACTGGAAACGAACTAGCAATTCATATATTATTATTTGTAATATATGCTTAAATGTAGGAAATAATCATATATGTTAATATTCTAAAGAATTTTTAAAAAATAACCCATGCAATGTCATTTTATTTAAAGGGACTCTTGATCTTCTTAGAAGCATAAAGTAAGTCACTTCACATGTCACCTTGTAATACGTTCCTTTATTTTTTAAGCGACGGGAATGTTACTTAAAAGTTGCTAATATCTTACTGTGTAAGGAAATAACAGTTTAATTATACTGCAGTTTTTGTTTTGTTGTGGGAAAATGAAAAGAATTGTTTATTTGATTGCACAAATTAAAAATTGCCAACAAATTAATCTGGGAACAGAGTGACACTGCCCTAAACCTGAAAGCATATGCTTTAACAATTTGATAATTCAACACTTTGTGCTGTTTTCCATACTTTCAAAAAATATTTTGGACAAAAAATGTTTATAAGAAGTGCAATAGATGGCAATAAAGAAAAGTAGCTTGAACAAGAGTAAGGAGGCCAGCATGCTTCTTTTTTGTAAGAACAGTCAATACATACATTTTTCAAATGATTATGCTGTGGGACGGGAATAGGGAAATCATTTTGAAGGATGAGGTAACTTTATGGTATTAGAATCATGTCCTCCACACTCACATTCAATTGAAGTTACTAAACTGTCATTGTGCATTAGGATTCTGGGTAACTAAGAGGATTTAAAATGAGTATTTTAGTTTTTTAATAACTGATAAATACTGGTTTAAAAAACTAAAAAAGCAGCTGAAGTTTGGAAGACTTCTCGCCATGCTTCATTGAGAGCTCTCTTCCTTCTAGTCTTAAACTAGCTTTTTCACCTTTACATGAATAAAATGTAGACCAGATTTATTCAATGAATTCAGCTACCATTTCTCTATATGTATTATATGCCAATTATTTTATAAAGTTCTCAGCATTTCAGATTTACTTAGACATTATCTTCTTGCCTTTAGGGCATATTCATGTTGTGGAGAGAATCACAACACGATACAATTCATAATGAGGAGATGAAGGTCACCAACTGCTACTCCATTGCCTACCTTCCATCTGAAAAGGAGCTTTTTATTGACTCATAAAATGTAGCACAAAGGGTGAAAAGTTGCAATGATGTAGGATGGATAAATTTTAAAAATCTAGAAATGAGCTTTAGAAATGTAGATCATGGTGATTATACTGTATTTGGTAGCAGAAATTTTATAGGAGAGTATATATCTCTGTTTTTCTCAACACACACACACACACACATACACACACACACACACACACACATGCACATCCACAGTGTGTGGAGATGGATAGGTTAGTTTGACTGCAGTAATGATTTCACTATGTATATATCAAAACATCATGTTGTATACCCCAAATATGTATAATTTCTATTTAAAAGAAAACGCAGTAGCTACATTTTGTAAACAAACACAATTTAAAATTGGATGATAGCACAGAAATAAAAATTCAGAATTCTAATATTTTTCAAAAGTTCAAAAAATCAGATAACCTTGGACCTGGCACAAATTGGCAACACTGAGTAGTGTCTGCATCATGTAGGAGTGTGTGTGTGTGTGTGTGTGTGTGTGTGTGTGTGATCTACTTTCTTTGCTTCATGCTTATCGAATTTTCCTTCTATCATGATAATTTCTCATGATTTATGGAAATGCTTGCAAATTTATTTCTGTAGCTAAGGAAGTATTCCCTGAAAAAGAAACTCCTTAGAAAATAAGTTCCTCCTAGGAATGTCATAAGAATTTCTTTCTGAAGCACACCATGTGATTTAACTTGTACTTACTACTTACTTCTCAGATCAGATGTGACCTTTTCTTGCTACAAAAATAAAAAAAAAAAAAGATATACTCATTTTATTTTTTTTATTTTTTTCAAAACCAGTGCAGCTTTATTGGCTCAGGCGATGGACATCATCATTGTCAGGCCTGCCCTGTGCTTCCCACCAAACCGATATACTAATTTTAAATCATTCCTGGTAGTAGGTAGAAGAATGATTCCCAAAGTTATTTGTGTCATAATACCCTCAAAAACATGCAATAGGGAATTAAGGCTTTAGATGGAATTTAGATTGAAATGTGGACATAATCTTGGTTTATCCAAGTGGTCCCGATGTACTCACATGTGTCCTTAAAAGTGGAAGGAGAAATAAAAGTGTGGGTCAGAGTGACGGCAGTGAGAGAAGGATATGACACCCTTTGGTGCTTCTGAGATCTGTGGCCATGCACAAAATCCAGAAAGAGGCCTCTAGGAGCTAAGCATATCCTTCAGCTGACAGCCATTAAAGAAACAGAGACTTTTATCCTACAAACACAATAACTGAATTCTAGGAACACCCAAATGCAAGGAAATAGGTTCTGCCCTAGAGCCACAGAAACAATGGCAGCCCTGCAGACATTGTTCTGCATGATCCTACTTGGCCTGCTGACATGCATATTAGACATCTTTAAGGTAATATGTCAGTGTTAAGACATGAAGTTTGTGGTGATTGGTTAGATAAGTAATTGAAAAATAACACATTACTCATTCATTTGTATTTGACTTCATGCTAATGAAAATAGGCATGTCTTAGAGCAATTAAATTTCTTTTACATCATTTTCGTGCTGTAGAAGTGCTTTTAGAATACAGACTAACACCTGCATATATTCAACATACTTATAATTACGGTATAATAAAAACTCAAGATGCTTTCTACTTACCTTTTTTAAATGTAGGGATGTTGTCATTAATATCAGAAAGTGTAATTAATACCCTCGTTGTTCCAGACAGTGCTCCAGGCAGACCAATCCTGTCTTTGGCTTGAACAGTTACCCAATATGAATCTTGCAGCTCTCTATCTGTTTTAGAAGATGTTCTTATAACTCCTTTAAAAGTTTGATAAACTCCAATTATTATTTTATTATTAACCATGATATATTCCTAGTTAATTTCAAGAATTCAACCATATTATCATTCTTTTGACACATTTTGAACTACTACAATGTGCCAGACACTGCTCTAGATAAAATAATAACAATAATAGCAAATTAAAAAACAATTCTACCTGGACTTTCATGGGCCAGTAGTAGACCCTTAATAAAATTCCATTGTATGATAACCCACAGGTAGAGAAGACTGTAATATTTTTACCTCAATCTATTTTCTGCTATCTTCTCTAACATAATGTTAGTGTGCTACAGTTAACTTTTCTTCTTAACTTGTAATAAGTTAGGTTATTATGGGTAAATGTGTAAATTAAAATACCAAATGTATATAAAAATATTGTGCATCTGTGAGGTCTATTTTGAGTCATGTTGAATAAAGAAAGATTGGTTTCTGACACTATTATTCATAATCTACCAATAGAGATGAACACAAGCACAGGTATTTGAACTCAAGATGAACCATGATGAATATGTTGATGCATGTCCACTATCTATGAAGTCATTTATTGAAAAAATATCATCACTGAATAAAACATAGAAAAAATGTCAGCAGTTTACAGGACAGGGGAATGCAGTCCTAAAGATTTGGGGAACACGTGAAAAAAATACAAGAAAGATAATGGTCAATCCTCAAATGTGTCTGGAAAAAGGAATGCATTAAAAAATTGTGATACCAGGTTGTGTGTGTGTGTGTGTGTGTGTGTGTCTGTGTGTGTCTGTGTTTTAAAGAAAGATAAAATAGCTGCATTATGAGAGGATTTAACTGTAGGTAGAGTATTTCACAGTTATAATCTATTATGTGAATCAGTATGAAAACCATTGAATATATTAAATAGATGCTGCTAGTATCTACCTATATGTAACTCAAGAGAGAATTGTTTTATATCAGCAAAGGAGGATAGTATTTGAGCTTCTGATATATCCAAGGATATAGAGATCAGTACATCAGTGAGTGAGGGGAACATAGAGGCCTTCACTCCCCATGTGGGGGGCTTCCATGAACTTTGCCTACTTTATTTTCAACTTTTCTTCTCACCTTCCGACTGAAGAAAGGATATATATTCCCAGAGCCTCTTATACACACTGAAATTTACAGTTTCATGGTTTTTGGCTCTCATCTGTCTCGCTGTCCATTCCACCTCTCCTCCTTAAATACTATCCATAGCTTTAACTAACTTGCTCAATATATTTTTAGAAAATAGTGAGAATTGGGAACAAAGACAGTGCTTAAAATGGTCAAGAAGCCCCAGTATGACCCAGCACATGTCTGTTCTTCAGATACCTCATTGTCTACTCTCCTGCTCGGTGCTTTTCTACACTGGCCTCTGGTCTAAGAGCTTCAACACTCTCCCCTCTCAGGAATGTCTCTTAGATTCCATAACCTGGAATGCTCTTCCATGCCCTTCACCTCTGCCACAGGATCAGCTCTGCATTCTGGTTTCAGGGTATTCTGTCTTGACCATCCAATATAAAGTAGTCCTCACTTTCTTTCTCTTATTGGATCTTGTTTGTTTAAGTTAATAATAATATTCACAAACTGAGTGCTTGTATTCATGAGTATTCAACATGTTTAATATATATTGGTAAGTTTCAAGGAAGGAAGTCATGTTCTTTTTCTGTCTTTGTTATAATTTTTTAAAGGTGTAATATTATAAATATCCAGTATATTGCATAATGCCTGTTAACATAATTCACCCCTCTCAACCAAGATTGTGTGAGGGAATTAAAACCTAATGTCTTAAGGAATCCACTGCAAGTATTAAAATAGCTGTTGTCCTGTGCATCCCAAATAATAGAAGCTAGGTACCATCCTTGATAGAATTAAAAATAGAGTCACTCAAGTCATATTTTTCTGAATCTGATTCTCTCAAGAAACTCTAATTGAGAAAGAAAGGCTGAGACATTTAATATTTGCTAATTGAGCGAATTGATAAGAAATGTTTAAAGGTCCAATAGAATGCTCTAATTCGTTTAAGCTTTTCATGTTACCAAGATGAAAATAATAATTTGCCTCTTAAAACAAATATAGAATTTTCCTTCTTTTAAAATTTGCCGCATTCCTGGCAGCTAGCTACAAACTTGTTTGTTTTATTTTTGTTTCTTTGTTTTCCATGTTTAGAGATTATAAGCTCTTAAAGGCAGGATTCATATGGGCTTAATCTTTGTTTTGGACATGGCAATCAATATTTTTAAAATGAATTAGTGTCATAGAACTCTTATGCATTTAATTGACATATTTAAAAGAACAGAAAAATGTCCTATTTATTGTATAAAGTATTCAATTGATTAATGGAAATTAGAAAGGCAATTTTTATACTTAAATTTTTTTTAAAATATATTTTATTGATTTTTTACAGAGAGGAAAGGAGTGAGATAGAGATAGAGAGTTAGAAACATCGATCAGCTGCCTCCTGCTCATCCCCCACTGGGGAAGTGCACGCAACCCAGGTACATGCCCTTGACCGGAATCGAACCTGGGACCTTTCAGTCCGCAGGCCGACGCTCTATCCACTGAGCCAAACTGGTTTTGGCTATACTTAAATTTTTAAATCTAAATAAAAATATATAAAATGTAGAAATACATCTTTGAAAGCAAATGCCTTATATCAGTTCCTACATCCAGCTGTAAATTCATGCTTAGTATTAGTCGTTCTGGTTGGGTTTTTGGTGTATCTCATTGTGGTTTTCATTTGCATTTCCATAAAGATTAACGAGATGAGCATCTACACTAATAGATAAATATGTAAATTGACCATGCCTCTGTGATGACCCACAGCCAATCAGGAGGGAATATGCAAATTAGCAGGACAAAGATGGCAGCAGCCACGGAGCCAGCCGGAGCAGGCAGGAGGCTTGGGTTACCCCAAAAACAGAGGAAGCCAAGCTTCCCACCCACCTGGGCTGGCTGCCAAAGGAGGGACCTGTGGACAGTGGCCACAGAGCAGGCCGGAGATAGTGGGAGGCTTGAATCACCACCATCAATGGAGGAAACTTGGCTTCCTCCATCGCCAAGGGCAACCCAAGCTTCCTGCCTGCCCTGGATGGCTGCTGAAGGAGGGGCCTGTGGGCGGTGGCCACAGAGTTGGCCTGAGCTGCTGGAGGCTTGGGTTGCCCAGGCTGGCCACAGAGGGAGGGGCCTACAAACTACACTCAGTCCTTCTCCCAGGCTGGCCATGCCCCCATGGGTGTGCAGGTTCCTTCTGGGGGGCATGGCCATCCTGAAAACAGCCCTCAGCCCCTTACAGCCCTCAGCCCTTCACCCAGGCTGGCCATGAACCCCAGTGGGAATCCCCACCCTGATCCAGGGCACCCTTCAGGGCAAACCAGCCAGTTCCCACCCATGCACCAGGCCTCTATCTATACTAATAGAAGGGTAATATGCTAATTAGACTGGGAGACCTTCCAGACATTCTTCTGGACAAAGTCATGGTGGCGGGGCCGAGGTAGAGGCGTTTAGAGACCAAGAGGGGAGGGCAGTTGTGTGTGATTAGGCCACTGGGCGGGGCCATTGGGGGTGATCAGGCTGGTGGGGGGGCAGTTGGAGGCAAGTAGGCCAGCAGGGAAGGCAGGTGGGGGTAAACAGGCCAGCAGGCAGAGTGGTTAGGGGCAATCAGGCAGGTAGGCAGGTGAGTGGTTAGGAGCCAGCAGTCCCGGATTGGGAGAGGGATGTCCGACTGCCGGTTTAGGCCTGATCCCTGTGGGGTCGGGCCTAAACCGGCAGATGAACATCCCCCAAGGGGTCCCAGATTTGGGAGGGTGCAGGCTGGGCTGAGGGACACCACCCTCATGCACAAATTTCATGCACCGGGCCACTAGTTTTTAATATGATTGTAGTCTTTTTTATAACAATATTTTTGTCAAATGCTCATAAAGTTCTTTTCCTCATAGTTTGAATTGGGTTATCTGTCATTTTTTAATTGATTTGCAAGAATCCTTACGTATGTGTTATGCCCTACACACAAACCATTTGTGGTATGGGAGTGTAGAGCCCAATCTTTCAGCCTTAGAAAAATTATTTAAAAGACTAGAAAATGATTAAATGTTTAAAATACAACCCCTTTATTTATTTTATTTTATTTTATTTTTTGTATAACAACAGGTCTGCAATACAACATGTTTGTAAGCTGAGAATTTTTCCTGTTATATTTGCCTACTTTGAATTATGTTGAATTGCACTTGGTTTCATTTAGAAATACCTGTTGTTGGCTCAATGGAGAAATATGGTTGGCCATGTAGTAACTCGTATACAAGACGAGCATTATTATTACATAAAGGATCATCAGCATCACTTGCTGTCACCTGGATGACGAATGTCCCTAAAGAGAAAGTAAAGACAAAAGTTAATACAATGATGATATACAACACAAGACCAGTCTACATCCTTGTTTTGAATTTCAAAACCATGTATAATTTCTATATAGACAAGAGGCTATAACCTCATACTATGTAGAATTTTAAATATCTATGTCTATGACATAATTAAATGTAACTGTTGAACAATCCATTATAATGTGTGATTCAGGATTTTCAAAGGTGTGTTACTAGCAGAAAAATAAAAAAAATTAATTGGAAACACTTTCCTTCAAAAATCATGGTGTGATCAGCACCTCAAAAATTAGAGAATATTGATGTAATTTTAATAAATATTATTTAAGTAAGCTGGAAATAGTATCAAGTTGAGGACAGGTATAACTATTTTGCCTGTTTAATTTCCTTCTATAAACTCCCTACTTGTTTAAAGAGCTTTTGTTTTTAATGCAAAGCAAAATCTACCAGATACTGATAAGTAAGCATTATCATTAAATCCAGTAGTAATTAATAGAAATATGAAAAATAAGTACTTGTACATTTAAAATTAATGCTCAACTTAAATTTCTTGGAATCTAGCATTATGAGTTTTTTTGAAAAATTGCATTTATTGATTGATAATGTTTTTGTCAATAAGAATGTTAACACAAATAGCACAAAGTCAAGTTTCCTATGTGATTTTTTTTGCAACAAGCATCCTGTGTTTTTAGTTTTTTAATTTTATAAACTGAGAAACTGTAATAGAAAGCCCTTCTATCCTTCAGTAATAAAACTTTTGAAACTTTACCATATTCCTTAATTATACGTAACTGAAAGCCGAGTGCAAGGAGGAGGGGGGCATAACCTGTGGGAATTGGCCTGCTGTGGGAGTTCTGCTCATCCCAGTCAGGTTAGCGGTGCTCCCACTATGGGAGTGCACTGACCACCAGGGGGTAGCTCCTGTGTTGAGTGTCTGCCCCATGGTGGTTAGTCTGCATCATAGCAACTGGTTGACCAGTCCTTCTTGTCACTCTGCTGTTTGGCTTCTGGGCTTATATATATATATAGATGGTTGCTGTTTTGTCTTAGTATTTTGATGTTAGTTATTCCCAGTCAGGTTAGCGGTGCTCCCACTATGGGAGTGCACTGACCACCAGGGGGTAGCTCCTGTGTTGAGTGTCTGCCCCATGGTGGTTAGTCTGCATCATAGCAACTGGTTGACCAGTCCTTCTTGTCACTCTGCTGTTTGGCTTCTGGGCTTATATATATATATAGATGTTTGCTGTTTTGTCTTAGTATTTTGATGTTAGTTATTTAACACTTGTTTTACACGGTTCAAGTACTCAAAATGTACACACATTTGTTTCAGGTGTTTTATTTTTTTAAAATATATTCTTATTGATTTCAGAGAGGAAGGGAAAGGGAGAGAGAGAGAGAGAGAAACATCAATGATGAGTCACTGATTGTGTGCCTCCTGCATGTTCCCTGCTGGGGTCAAGCCCACAACCCAGGCATGCACCCTTGACTAGAATTGAATCCGGGACCCTTCAGTCTGCAAGCCAATGCTCTACCCACTGAGCAAAACCAGCTAAGGTTGTTTTAAAACTTATTTCTGCCACTGTGACACTATGGGTGGATCTTAAGAGCATTAAAATAAGTTAAGTCAGACAAAGACAGACAAATACCACTTAATATCTTATGTGAAATAGAAAAAAGCTGAACTCATAAAAAAAGAGGGTAGATTGCTGGTTACCAGGGACTGCAGGTGGGGAAATTGGGGAGATATTGATCAAAAGATACAAAATTGCATTTAAAACATAAATTCTGGCTGAAACCAGTTTTGCTCAGTGGATAGAGCGTCGGCCTGCGGACTGGGGGGTCCCGGGTTCGATTCCGGTCAAGGGCATGTACCTGGGTTGCGGGCACATCCCCAGTGGGGGATGTGCAGGAGGCAGCTGATCGATGTCTTTCTCTCATCGATGTTTCTGACTCTCTATCTCTCTCCCTTCCTCTCTGTAAAAAATCAATAAAATATATTTTTTAAAAATAAATAAATAAATAAAACATAAATTCTGTAGAAATGCACAACATAGTGATTATCATCAAATATATTTTTTTGTAAACTTCAAAGCTGCTGAGAAACTAAATCTTAAAGGTCTCACTACTAAAAAATGATAATTATGTGACATGATGGAGATGTTAGCTAGTGCTACAGTGGTAAGCATAGTGCAATATATAAATGTATCAAATCAATACATCATACATCTTAACTTTTCACAATGTAATATTAAAATTATATCTAAGTAAATAAATAATAAATAAATAAATTATTGTAGTGATTATGAAGTTATTTTAGCAAAAGGGTTCTTAGGAACCACCAATTCAACCAGTTTTTATTGGGCAAGATGTTCTTTTAAATACTCTTTTTTGGACACATCCATTTACTTCCCCTACAGCTTCTCATTGTTTCCATTTCATTTCTTTCCATGGGAGTTTTCTGACCCTAGGTTGCAGAACTAGACTATCTGTATTTAGCTTCAGAAATAATAGTCAAAATCATGGTTTGGTTAGTTGTTGACCAAAAGAAATTCTTTGTATTAAAGCCTTAGATTTTCTAACACATGATTATTTCTCATACCCCATGGAAGAAGCTACAAGTAAAAAGGAGATATCTACCAAATTCACTCTAGTTTATTGCAGTGTACCTACTATTAGTATTATTTTTAAAAAATTAAAGCAGGTGAACTTTGGGTGGTAAACACACAAGGCAATATACAAATGATATATCATAGAATTATACAAGTGAAACCTATATACTCTTATTAACCAATGTCACCCAAATAAATTTAATTAAGATGGTGAAAAAAAACAATAAAAATAAAAAATTAGGGACAAATATTTCCAGGAAAATTCCTGAAATAAAATAGGGTGAAGCAGAGCTGTTCTGGGTAAAACCGGACATAGAATTACCCTACTTCAGCACACCTGTGAGAATATAAAATGACACCAGGATTATGTATAAAGGAAAATGACAATTCCCCAGAATAGATATGTGCATATTAAATTGCCTCACCCTTAACACGTACTATTCCACCTTAAGACTCCATCCTATGATTAGAATTAAATATTAAAAGTTTAGGCTAGAATACTCTGGTACATCTACACAATGGAATACTATGCTGCTGTAAAAAAGAAGGAATTCTTACCATTTGCAACAGCATGGTTGGAACTGGAGAGCATTATGCTAAGTGAAGTAAGCCAGTCAGTGAAAGAAAAATACCACATGATCTCACTCATTTATGGATAATAGCGACCATTATAAACTGATTAATAAAAATAGATACGGAGGCAGAGCAGCATCAAACAGACTGTCAAACTACAGTGGGAAGGTGGTGGGGGGGGGTAATAGATCAACCGAAGGACTTGTATGCATGCATATAAGCATAACCAATGGACACAAGACATTGCGGGGTAGGGGAGGCCAGGGGCAGGTCAAGGGAGAAAAAAAAAGGAGACATATGTAATACTCTTTGTAATACTTTAAGCAATAAAACAAAAAATTTTTTAAAAAGTTTAGGTTGGCTAAATCCTTGAAATCAAGTTAGAAATGAATGCAAACCAGTCTTCTCTTTGGAACTGAGGATGCCTAGGTTAGCATGAATTTCTGAATGGAGTCACATTCACTTGATCAGCTATATCATTGTATGAGCAAACAATTGCATTTGCTGTCTAAAGATTTTCTTAAATCCTTTTTTATCTATTCGTTTTAGTGAACAAAGGTTTAAATACAATAATTATTCTCTCAGAATCATACAAATATTCAATAGAATAATTCTGGGTTCTATTATCACTTTGAGAGTTGCTATTGTCTGCCAATATCACCCTTGATATACTTTTTCAAAAATGCAAATTTAAAATCAGTTTTACTTTTCCAGCTAGTTTCTGAATCTTCAGAACTATTTTATTTTTGCAAAACAACTTTATGATAATAAATTTAAGAGATATTTGACTTCGCCTATTTTTCATAGACTGTTTTGCAAAAATGTATTGTTATGTATGTTACCCAAGATGTAAACTTGTACCAGTGCTTGAGAGAAAAATTATAGTTTAGTACTCTCAGAATCTTCATTTGCTGACATACTTTTTTATTTGTTATAACACAGATAGAAAATTATAATGAAGTAATGGTATGTCAATATAAAGTATTTATTATTTGTGAATAATTACATATAAATTATGCTTTGTGTGATAATGGTAATAAATGCTAAACCTTTTTGAAGATTGCAAGCATTATTGATAGCATCAATTATATTCCCAGCACTTTAGACTTATTTATCTTTAAGAGTAAATGTAACTAATGTAAGAATAATGTAACTCTGTCAATGTTGATTTATATGGACTTTAGTATAGACCAGCGGTATAACAAAGGACTAAATGATTCTCACCCAAATGTTGTTGAATATTTGTTAACAAAACTGTATTAGATGGTGATGTCTCATATTTCACCCAGACTGCTTCATCTTCTAGTGATTATGGGAGGCATTCAAACATAAAAATGGAAAAGAGTGATAAATTTTGATATGCAGACTAGTTTAGACATCATGTAAGCAATAGAGAAGTCAGCTATCTGTGGCTAGAAAATTAAGAAGTAAAGTTTGCATTTATAGAATACTAAACAAACAGCACACCATAGTTTAATATGGGGCTTGAATGCCAAGATTTGAACTGTAGATTTCAAAATGGCTCATTTATTTTTTTATGCAATGTTTTTGTCTTAAACTCAGTAGTAAAAATAATAACAGCCTTTTCTTAGAATGAAGTTATAAATTGTTTAACAGGAAAGGTATTTTCACTTGCATTTTTAGTACAGGTACACTTTGATTAATCTGAAACAAATTTATTGAGAGGATATTGACTTGTATAATGGTCAAATTTAAACTGGCACAAATTAAACAATACTATTTTGGCATACAGTCTGAATCTGTGAGTTTCGGCAATAACAAAAACAGATATAAGATATTAGATGATCTAGTAAAAATGTAATTTTCAGAAATTAAATCCATGATGGAAATGGTGGTTTAATCCATGCATCTGCTCACTCCTTCACACTGAGAACTTATTCTATCAGTGCAATAATTATTAGTTATTTACAAGTATTAATTGGCCCATCCTTACTGTGAGTATACTTGAGATGCAATTACTTTACAGCTTAAAATCTCCAGATGACACTCAAGAAAGAGATGGCATTTCCCTTTTGTCCATGCACTCATTCATTTATTTAATCATCCCAAACCTCAGGTACTGTTTTACTCTTGGCCTATTAGATCTTATATTTTTGTGTGGAAGAAATATACTATTTGCAAACCCAGACTAATGAGTGAGAAAACAGAATATTTTATCATAGTTCCACCTGATAGCTCTAGTTTAAAAGTACCGCATTTCAAAGGTAAATGTAATCAGTACAAACGTATCATTACTTGTAAATGAATATTACTTGTAAATAAATATTACTTGTTAAATAAGCAATGCATGGTTTATAATTTTCTTGGTTTTCTCTTTTCATGATCCTCAAATGTAGATTCCTTCTAATAGTCTACCAAGTTCTAATTTTAAAGTTCAGGTTCAAATATAATAATTAGTAGCAGATTCTAATACAACACAAATCTATTTAAGAAGGACAATAGAGAATAAAATTTTTCACTGGTTGCTTTATAAAAGATAAAATGGGGAATTTGGAAGCAAATTAACACTCAAGGATGGCAATGGATATGGAAAGAAGATAAAGAATTAAAGATATATTCAAATAAAATAAGGTCCACACTATCTATTAGTTAGATATTGAGACTGAGGGAAACACAAAAAATACATATAATATAACCAGTTCCTTCACAGCAAAGTTAATCACTGTAAGCATTTTTCAGAGGGAGACCATCTAAAAAATGATTGACAGAGCTATGGAGGTGTTCCACTATTTCCATATTAGAAAGTATTTCTGGTTGCAGCTGCCCATCATGCTATTGACCCCTTCCATCGCTAGACAGATATGAAAAGTGCTCATTGCTTTTGGTATGATTCCATACAAAGCCTAGACCCTGGATTTACTTGTAAAGAAATATTTATTCATACTTCCATAGGCTGCATTAAATTACATAGACTGACTAGGTTAATATGTACTGGAACCTCTAATTGCAAAGTGTAAGTGGCCAAATATCGTACAGACCAAACTGATGTTTTGTGATCTCCATCAAATCAAACACAGCATGGCTACATGTGGTGCCATGATACAAATACTGTATTGTACACACTGGAATCTCACTGTGGCCCACTCTCCAACTCTATAAAATGCCCGTTATGTACCTCCTCTCTCTAAAATTCCTCCCCTCCACTCTCAATTACTGCCTTTGCCTCAGGCATCACTGATTAAATAGAAATAATCATGTGTTACCTGGTTTGTTAACAATATGTTAACCTACGTGGATCTGTCCCCTCTATTATTCCTTTAGATTTCATCACTCTTTCTCTTCTCAAAAATAGTTTTCTAGCAGTCACATCCCTTCTATTTTGCTTCAAAAAATACTCTTCTTTTGTATCATTTCCTATAGTATACAACTATGCTATTAAATATCCCAACTTAATAAATAATTAAATGATATATTTTTTAAAAAATTGCCTTTACATTTCACATCCCTCTCTCTCCTGCCTCACATCTCTATTTTTTCCTTGCATAGCACTTTTAAAGAGGCTAAATTAACTGTCAATCACATTTTCTCCTTCCATTTATGCAATAGAATAATTTCCAACATAATGTAGTGACACAAATTCAACCAAATTACTCTTACTGAAAATACTAGGGGCCTTCAACTTGCTAAATCAAAATCAGGGCTATCTTGATTTTACTCAGCCTCACAGCAGCATTCCACATAGTTGAAGGATCTCTTCCATTGCAACATCTCATCTCATCTTTCTCTTCTTCCTATATCACTGGCCAATCCCATTCTTACTAATTTACCAGTCAACTCCCATTTGCTTAACAGTCGATTTACCAGGTATGTTTTTCTCATCTCTACCTATATTGTCTACTAAGAGGATCTCATATAGTGCCATGACCTACATGCTCACTATATGCCAATAACTCTCATATTCATAATGCAATCTTCATCACACTGCTTTTCCTAGAACATGGCATGGCTGTCCTCTGTATCATTCCTTTCAAATTTTACCTACTAACACATCCCCACTTCCTTCAGTCAATTAATCATCAGCATACTTTTCCCATACTGAACACTTTCATAGCATACAGTATCAAATATTATCTTGTTTATTTAAAATAGGTATTGTTTGTATTATAACTAAAACATGTTTCATACTCGTGATTACTAGTAACTCTATATATCTCCTTCACAATTGAATCCGCAGTTTCAAAGGAAAGTTCCTAGAACATGTTAAATTTATAATATGTGCTTATTGAAGAAGAAGGATGAGGTGAGTAAAGAACAGAAAGAGAAGAGAAAAAAGGAGGAGGAAAAGGAGGAGAAGGAGGAGGAGGAGGAGGAGGAGGAGGAGGAGGAGAAAGGAGGAGGAAGGAGGAGGAGGCAGATCGAGGGGGAATAAATAATGTTTCATTGCCTAGCTATCAAATGGAACAATATTAGTATGTCCTTCAAACCTAATGATAATTGGTTGTAATACATATTACACAATTAAAGGTATTTATGCTTTAATTAAAGACCTATGTTCTGAAAACATGTAGCAAGAGGTCTTTAAATTGCTACCTGGAAGGTTAAAAAACAAAGAAATCAGGAAAATGTATAATGGGATATACGTTTTTATACTCACAGGCTAATGAATCAAGTGTTAAGGTAAAATAGGTTTTTTTTTATCTTTAAATGTTTTATTAGTTAAGGAATTACAAATGTGTCCTCCCCCCACCCCCCATGCTCTCATCCCCCTGTTGTCCATGTCCATTGGTTTGGCTTATATGCACACATACAAGTCCTTTGGTTGATCTCTTCCCCTTACCCCCATCCTCCCCTACTTTCCCTCTGGGGATTAATAGTCTGCTGTTTCTCTGTTTTTGGAAGGTAAAACAGTTTTTTAGCATGGAAGCAAAATTTAAAATGATCATTATTAAATCACATTTAAGTTTATCATGTTAGTAAATTATATACATTTAATTTAATTATATATTGTGTTATCAAAATTATCTTGATGGGGGTGGGGGTGGCCAGTCTGGATCTCACCCATGGGGGTGGGGCTAGCCGGGTCTGGGTATGTGTAATTTCGAGGCGCACATGGGTGGGCAGGGACTTGATTCTTGTTCCCTTGATGCACCCCAGACTCTGACAAGAGGAAGATTTTCATATATATTTTACTAATTTTCTGACATCTTTGACACTTTTATTATAGAGAAATGGCAAATAGCAATATTAAAATATTTCCTCCAATAAACCTTTTTTACTGTGCATGAATTTTTGCACCGAGTAACTAGTTTCAAATATTTTATTTAACATGCTTGTAAAAGGAAGTACAGATGTAGAACTTTCAAATAATTCACTTCCAATTCATATGCTCAAAATCTCAAACTTGTTTACATTGCTAATATACGTTTGATGTCAATTAATATGTAATACCTTCTGGAGACATCTCTGGTACAATGGCCGCATAAGGTTCATGTAGGAATTTTGGTGCATTGTCATTGATATCTGTAACTTTGACAACAAAGTCAGATTCAGATTCCACAGCCTTTCCAGTAGTGCAGTCTATTAAATGGGCTTTCAGATTGTAGAAGGCCTGTTTTTCTCTATCCAGCTTCTGTGCCACAGATAAGACACCTGTTTTTTCATCAACAAAAAAAATACTGTTGGCTCCATCTCCTGAAATCCTGTACTCCAAAGACTTGGATCCATTGTGCATATTTGAGCTCAGCTGCAAGTGCAAAGAGTGATCATTTAGTTTCCATATGTGTCGAAATGGGCAAGTCAATTATAGTGGTTTTATTTTCTAGTCTTCTTATTATTCCCCAAGTTAATAATTCCATACAACTCCCATATAACGTTTAAAAAGGTATAATATTAACTTTAAAATTAAATTCTATCTCCACATATATTCTACTCAATTCTCAAATATACCTGTTCTCTTTGTGCTCTCATTATTTGTATATTTTAAAAGCAAAGTAAATCTGTTTATCTTTGTGTTAATATAATTTTGAATTTCAGATATAAAAAAGTGTTATTATGATATAGAGAACATTGCTTGTATTTTTTATATCTAAATTATTTTTACACAAAGAGGAAAACCTGCCAAAAGTTCCTAATTATTGTGAATCCATGATTTTCTTGTTTCATCACTTATGAATATGCCCTTCTTCAAAGTAAGAGCTTCTCTGAAATTTTACAAAGTGAACCAAGAAATAAAATCTTAAATTCATAACTTTCTGATAGCTCAAGATGTAATGTATTATTCCTGACTAATTAATAAATTGTTCTATGTGCTTGGGCGAGAATATCTGAATATATCTAAAACAACTAATTTTAATAATGCATTGAGTATCACTGACATACAATAAAAGAAATAAATTGGCACTACTAATAAAAAGCTAAGGAAAAAGTTCTAGCTATCTTAATTTGACAATTCATTATCATAAAATAAAAAGACTTCATGACCTAATAATAAGAAATTAAGGAAAACAAATGTCCTCTATCATTTTGATGTAGTTTGAAAATTTGATTCAATATTGGAATGAAAATAAGTCAAGTTTAGTAATGTATACATGCTTTTCAAATACATTGATAGACTAATTTTCATAAATCAGTGGCTTGGTTTTTATAAGAACCCAGATTTAAGTTAAAAAATATTTTCTCAAACATCTGCTTCTTAATGTCATAAGATGCATCAGTTACACACATTTCAATTTCATGGATTCAGGTATTATTAAATTTCTATATTGCCATTCAAAAATATTTTCTCAATCATGCAGTTATTATCAATTTGGAAAATCAACATGACTTTAAATTTTACTTAGTTGTGCTTTCCAAACTTGATCACTTTTTAAAAATAGGTCAAAAAGAAAGTTATGTTGGGCACCTCAGCTACATTTCATTCTTACCAGCTATTTACTTACAAGCACCTAAACATTCATTATTACTTTCTTTTAAACAAGTTGTCTATATATTATTATTTAAGCCTAATGAAGTTGTTTAGAGGGGAGATTACTGTATTTTCATAAATATGCTTACAGAATGCAAAAATAGGCAAAGCAAGTTACTATGTGAAAGAGGTGGGGGGAAAGAAATGTGTAGGGAGGAGAAAAAAACAAACTAGAAAATGTGGCAGTGAGCCAGGGAGGTAGTCTGTCTGGACTGCACTGATGCACTTCCCTGTAGAGCCTTACTCACTAAAAGCCACAAGCCCCTGTTGGCCTGTCATTCTTTCAATGAATGGAGAGCATATGGAGTTCTGTGGAGTCCACTGTAAATGTGGTTAGAGAGACTTGGTTAAGTAGCAGACACTTAACTGCAGACCTCCTTTATGGTATTCTGCCTGTCATTTACCTGCAGTCATCTTACAAAATGAAAAGGGAGGAGAAATATTACTTTCAGGACATGTGTGCATACTAAACGAATACGTGCCTAAGACCCTAATCTAAGCCTTTGGTTGAACGTACTCATATACATTTGGACAATGGAATAGATGAGCTCCTATGGAATCTGGACATCAGGCTAACGCTGCAGTTCTCCTGAAAGGGCTAGAAAAAGAGTTAATGAATTCTGAGTGCTTCACCCTTTGGGCCCAATTAAATTTTAGTGCCAGTTAATTAGCAGTTAAACTTACTTCAGTTCATTCATCTATAGAAAGAGCTTTACAGAACAGGACTTGATATTGTAATTACCTCTATTTAAAGAAAATCAAAGAATAATAAAAGCCAAAAGTATAAATAGGAAATGTTCTTTCTCATTAAGGAAATTCTCTTACAATATATTCTTATAAGAAAGTGAAAATAATAATTCTTTGTATTTCAACTTCACTAATCAAATGAATATGTAGGCTCTTGAAGCTACTCAACTGTAAAAGAATTTGGTATTAACCTGCTTCATTAAAAATTAATGAGGTGTATATCAACACCTGCTTAGCATAATAGAAAATCAGACTAAATACTGTTGGTGACTTTATTGTTCTCAGTGTAGTTGCTTTGATCCATTACCAAAAATAACACCATCGAACTTCCAGATGTGGATAATGAGGGCTGTGTTTTTACATGGGAGACTAAAGTGAAATGGGAATACTAGAGCTTTCCCTCTTCTGCAAGCTTTTGTGGTTACTCGAGGTGCTAACAAACCTGAAGCAATGAATTATGCTGGTGACATGAAGTTTTCTAATGGTTCTACAGAGAAAATTTAGAATTCATCTAATACCAAAACTTTCAACTCATTTATTTAGATTTATACACCACTATTTCCTGTAACCTTTTCAGAAAATCAGTACCCGGCCAATGATCTTTCTAGTGATATTCATTTCCTCTTCTACAAAATACTGGTTCCAAATCCAGCCACTCTTCAGTTTCAGATGAGACCCTTCTGGGTGCTTTGCCTCCTCTGTTTTAGAGCTTTCTGTTGCTGTAAGGCAAGGCCGTAGGAGGGGAATTCCCAACATCAAATGTAGGAATAAGCAACAATTCATTCTGCTCGTTTGATGCCAGCTGATGGATACTCTTCAGAAGAAACTATATGTTGCAAACGAAAATCTTAGGTTCCTTTATAATCTTTTAAAAAATCTGAAGTATCTTTCACATTCCTAAAGAACAAAACACAAAAACAAAATTTGCCATTTTAAAAATAGCACTTTCTCACATAATTGCTAATGTAAGGATACAACTTTTGCATTCATAAAATGCAAATGAGACAAAAATACACATTTAATTTCTGTTTTGATTAAGCCTGTTAATTATATTTTGTAGCTCAGCGGTAACTTGCATGTCATAATGGTACATTTCTGCTCAGGCACAGTGCAGCTTAAGCTGTAGTCAAATCTGCCTATAACATATGTAGAAGTAAAATTCATGATAGTGGCACAAACAACAAGATGTGGAAAATAAAAATATCTGGTAGTCAACTTCCTATGGATAAAGATATAACAGTCATTCAAGTAGACTGCTGAGTGAAAAAGCTTGACAAAAAAATCCATATTCTATGTTTCCGTTAATATGTCATTCCAGAAAATGTAAACCTAGCACAGTGACAGAAAACAGATAGTAGTTAAAAGAGAATGGAGGTGAGGAGGAAACAGAAAGGACGACCAGGATCATGATGGAACATTGTGAGTTAATAGCTATGTTCTTTGTCTTGATTGAGATTATGGTCTCACAGGAGGAAAAATAAGTTTAACCTATAAACTAACAAATATTTTTTACTCCTTTATACATGAAGAAACTTTCAAACTTGTCCACTGGGAGGCAATATAGATCCAATTAATTGGGAAAAACATATTAAAAAAGAAAGCTCATATTGAGGTACTACATAATACCAATTGTAGAAGTGTTTCACAAAGAGAAAATAATACCCTATAAGACACCTGTCATAAATAGATTTTGTAAAATAAGTGTAGGTAAAAAAAAAAAATGACATGCAAAATTTATCATGATAATTACCATGATAGTAGGGAGAGAAATTGGCTTAAATGCTGGAATTTAGAAATAACTATCATATTTTCTCGTCTAAAACAATCTAAATTATATATATAAAACAATAGTACTCATTAAATCTGGGTGATTCCTCTACCATATGTCATATTTTTATATGATTGAAATATTTCACAATTAAATTTAAGTCAAAATATAATTTTATAATACTAAATCATAGTAAAATAAATATGGGTACCCTTTTATTTGAACCTTTTTGTATAAAAGTACAAGAATAAAAAAGTAGCAGAAATGTTGTCTGAAGTATGAAACAATGTGGCTTTGTTTATACTCTTCTACATTCTAAATTTTCTATAATGGTCAGAAAATATACCCTTCTATTTAAAGGAAAGAGGAAACATTTCAAATCATGGTCCAGTTGTGATTGAAGAGTGTTGGCAGCTGTCAACATGCCAGACTGAGAAATACTCAGGGCTCAGTCCCGGCGAATAAGGAAAAGTGCTATCAATTAGTATTCTGAAATGGTCCCTGGAGAAACAAGCAGTGACATTTTCACCCCACATCTGCAATCCTGGTTACAGTTTCCAATCAGGCGAATAGCGGGATAAAAACTGGCATATTATTTAAATATGGAAAAAGGAAGTCATGCTAATACCGCCTCTTGTTAGTGTGCTTCAATTTAACCTAATTGTCAGAATCTAGGTGTAATTCTTTATATTTATTAAGGAAGATAGAGTATTGTATAATTCAAAATATATGATGTATAATAATAAAATGACATTGATATTAACATAACATTATATAATGAAACAATTTTACTATAGTTAAGTAACACTACTTCATAAATATCAAATATTATGTCCAAGTAGAATCATATAGTTTCAGAATTGACAATGCCAGGCCGGCATCGCTCCGTGGTTAAGCATAGACCTATGAATCAGGAGGTCATGGTTCAATTCCCGGCCCAGGCACATGCCCAGGTTGTGGGCTCAATCCCCGGTGCGGGGTATGCAGGAGGCAGCCAATTAATGATTTCTCTCATCATTGATGTTTCTATCTCTCTCTCTACCTCCCCCTTCCTCTATGAAATCAATAAAAATATATTTTTAAAAAGAGAAAAATGTATTTCATAGAATACATTGCATTCACATAGAATAAATTTATATCTAGAAAATTTAAGGGATCTGCCCAGTACCAAACAGTTATTTAACAGTAAAGGTAGGACTGGAAACCTAATCTTAAGAGCATAGAGTGAACAATATATACTATGCTATCCTGAGTGGAAGAAAGGAAATTTATAGATATCTGGCATCATGCATAACATCTGTCACCTTTAAAAATTGAATACAGATCTATAAATTGCATTATACTGTTTGGACAAGTCTTGAAACTAGACATAAAAAATGTTTTCTATTACCATCTTTTAAGACACCTCCACCTCACTTATTCTAAAGACTCATGAGATTAATAAAAAAAATGGAAGAATAAGTCAGAATGATGGATTTGGTGGCTGCCGGGGGGAAGATAAAAGTTGAAGCTGGGGAAATGTGGATGGTTTAAATATAGAAACCTAATCCTATTTGTGATCTCTTAAAAATCAAAGGAAACTTGGCAGCCTTATAGAGTGACACTCTCCCTCAAGACTTTTAAATGGCTTTCTCAGAACTGCTAATCGGAAATATAGAAAGATATACGAGTGATAGAGCCTGCATACATAAGTGAGAAGAAAGCAACATTTCTGGGCTCAAAATTGTCATTGTCCATATGCCAACTCTTTCTCCGCAGAGCTAGAATATTAAAGATTGTTCTTTGCCTTATTTATGAACTCTCATTAAACATACTGTGCATATTTACTGTCACGAGTAAAAGCTGTGTGCTACGGATAAAGGAACATCAAGTCCGAATGCCTGTATAAGAATGTCTCTAGCCCTCTTCGACAGTACTGCCTTCTCCATTCACTATTTGTGTGGTGTCCTAAGATATGGACTAACAGTGCCATTCTCCTGGGCTGGCCATCAGGAACTCTGTTTTTGAGCAATGAGGAGGGCTGCAGTTTAATGAGCACCCCATTCGATGTGCTGAACATTGACAAGATGAGCCTGGGTGGGCAAAGTATTCTAGAATGAGAAGAGACAAATTCCAGTTGCTGATATACACACTGCAAAATCTCATTAAAAGAAAATCAGGTATCCCAACCCAACACACACTCACCCTTACCCTCCACAAGATACCAAAACATGATTTCTCTTTATTATTGTAAGGCTAAATCTTTGTATGCCTCTGTCCCGATGATCTGTCTAAAACTCCTTTTAGACCATATACCTAATTATATGTTGCCAATCCAAGTAATCTGTATAGAATGTGTGTCTTTGCCATTGTGTAATCTGATATTAATTTAGCCACTGCATGTCCAAAGGCTATTTCTTACACATATTTGCCTGTGTGACTGCTGTCAAACCTGGAAAATATTTTCTTTTCAGAAACATCTTCTCCTCTTAATTTTCTTTTAAAAATAAGTAACACGTACCAAAAAAGCAATTCTTTATTTCTAATATCTAAACATTAATGTGACTTTCATTATTAAAGAGGTAAACCCATGTACATTTGTCTCTATTTTGATTGTCATTGTATAATTTAAAACCACTGGGAATTCCCTGAAAACTCCAAATCTATTCATTTGAAGAGAATACATAAAATTAATCTCACAGTTGTTTTTATTTACTTGTTGAGAAAAGTGAATAAAAACAAATTTCAAAATTCATATTCACACAGTGTCATTCAGCCATTGAATGTGGTGCTTTAGGTCATTTTATGATATGGGAATATGGGTGTAATACTTTGTTCGATGGGAAAAATAAATAATTAAATACATTTAAAATGATTTTATTCAGTTAAGGGGAAAAGGTAGGCAAATGCAGAGAGAGTGTAGAAGATTATGCCTTCAGATGCAGACAGTAATCACCTCTGAATGAGGAATTATAAGTTGATTTGAATTTCCTCATGAGTATTTCTATGTTTCAATAATTATTCAGTTAATACATAGATACATCATGTTATAATAAATTATTCTCCCAAATATGCCGAGATGAAATGTTCTGAAGACAGTTGGTGAACTGAAGAGTCCACTGTGCAGCAAAGATAACTGAATGGCTAAGCCAGTCTGCCACCCACGAGCTGGATGACTTCAGGACAATGGCCCCACCTCTGGGAGCCTCAGTTGTCTCATATGAAAAGGGAGGATAATAATCGCCTCCCATTGGGTTGTTATCTTGATTAACTGAGTTTAGGCATCCACTGTCTGACACATACTGTTATGTATTTTAAACTAACTATACAAATACCTACTTATAGGTGAGTGGTAAGGAGCTGATCATTTCTTTACTTCAAAACTTTGAAATATTCAGCTGGTGTTATTTCCACAAACAATACACACAGATTTCCAACTTTATAGATGACTTTTGCAAAAATAGTGTAGGATACATTGCCCCTGATGTATGTGCTCTACATGTATTTTCAAATGATTTAAATGCCATTATATTTTTTTCCCAAGCATGGCTAAATGACTAAAACAAATAAAAATTGTCATGCTTGAAACAGTATATGATATTGTGTGGGCGTGTATAGGCTGAAAATGATCCTGATGAGACACAGAACAATTATGTTTTCAAAGAAGACTAATTATGACTTTAACAGATGAAAATATGATAATCTAGGCACTTATACCATTTGTAACTGGATCTATTGAGAAATTGTCTTTTCTATGACCCCTTCTTGATTACATAAAGATAATTATTCCATCTGTGAAAACTTTACCAAAATATAATATATATTATGGAAGGCTTATTGAAAGCTGAACTAAGCTCAGCTATACTAGCTTCTCATAGAGAAAAGCATGGCAATTAATATAATGTCTCCATCTTTAGAAAACCATTGAATTGAGTAGGCCTGACCAAAAAAAAAAAAAAAAAAAAAAAAAGAGAGAGAGAGAAAGAAAGAAAAGAAAAAGAAATCTCTTAAAATAACGGTTTATAAATCTATCCTTAAAATAAGAGAAAACTGCCTTGGCCAGTTTGGCTCAGTGGATAGTGTCAGCCCTCAGACTGAAGGGTCCTGGGTTCAATTCCAGTCAGAGCGCACACCTGGGTTACAAGCTCCA